TAATTCATTTATATGAATTTAAAAAATTTTTTTGCTATTTTTAATTTTGAAATTATTATTTGTTGTTAAACTGATGTTATTTGAAAGTTGCGATGATATTACATTTGTTTCATAAGTTTAGATAAATTCTATTTTTATCTCATTTATCCAATTTTTTCTTTTATTTTTACGAATTATTAGCGATTGTAGTTAATTTTCTTTCTTTAGCAATTAACATATATAGTACGTATATTAAATAAATATTAACTTCTATATAAATTTTATAATTAAAAAACAAAGAAAACGATTTTCCGTAAAATTACTTTTATTCACTTCTATTTACCTTCCTAACTTATTATTGTTAATATTTCTAGGATAAAAAAAAGGAAACGAAAAAACGGAAAAGAAGGATTATCTTTCGTGCATCAAATAACAATGCCAAGTGCCGATGATGTATTCCGGCAGTTCAATATTGAATTAGACGCAGGTCATGAACCAATTTTTCATGGTGATGAATTAATAACCGGTAAATTACAAATTGAATTGAAGAGACCAATGACAATACAAGCTATTAAATTGCAATTTAAAGGACGTGCTGCATGTGTTAAAAGAGATTCATCGAAAGGAGGTGAAATTGAAAAGGTATTAATGAAATTATATTTTATTGCTATCAAAATTAATGTATTACTTAACCTTTTTTTTAAAAAAAATGATTTAAATCAATGTATTATTTTAAATCTATTAATGGATTATTTTAAAAATTACTGTCTTAAATTTGTTTTAAATTGCTTTCAAGTATTGTTTTGAATTTTTTGATTGTTTAATCTAAATTTTGTCAAAATTTTGTGATAGCAATATATTTTATTACTATCAAATCAATGTATTATTTTAAAAATAATTTATTACTATTAAATTTCATGATTATTAAATGTAGCTGTGAAATAATTTATATATTTTGAGTTGTTTTTTTCTCTTTTTTTTCTTTGTTAAAAATTAACATTCTATAAGTTGTGTTAATTCTTTTTACATTTTTTTTTTATTTTCAAATAATGTCTATTTATTTATTTTTTATAGGTGTATTTTGATAGAGATTTCACATTACTGGAAAGGCCACCTGGTCGGCCGGAACCAGGACACTTCCCATGGATTGCTAATTATTTATACTGTTTACCATTTGAATGCCCATTACCTCTAGGTTGTCCAACTTCATATGAAAGTCCGCATGGATTTATTCGTTATTTCATTCGAGCAACTGTTGTTGAAGAAGCTGGAACTGATTCGGTGAATTTTTAAGCTTTAATAAATTTGATCTATTATATAAAATTGAGAAATATTTCAAAAATAAAACAAAAGCAAAACTTTTTTATTTAGAAAAGGGAATTTTAATAACTTATTATAGAAATCATTATAGAAAAAATTATTAATATTATAGAAAATTATAAAAAATATTATGTAGTATTATAGAAAACAAACAAACACTAAAATAAATTTTATATTAAATAAATATATTTCTCTAATTAATTAATTAACTTCTATCACTTTGCATTTTATCATTGAGTAAATGTGTGAATATTTAGCGTGAATATATTGCAAAAAAACCAATCTCGGTGATTGCACCGGTGGAATCATTTGTGGAATTGGCTATACAACCAATTGGTGCTTCAGAAACGGTGTCATTTGGTGGTTGTTGTTGTCGTGGTAAGCTAATTGCCGAGGTACGCTTACCAAAATCTGCTTATGCACCAGGTGAAACAGTTATTGGTTCTATTAAAATTGACAATCGACATCCAAGACATATCGTTGATCAGGCAATATTTTTTCCGAAATTTTGTTTTTTATTCTCTTTTTTATTTTTTGACAATTCATTTAAAACGAAATACTTTAATAGATTAGTTTTGCAATTATATGTTTAAATTGAAACAAAGTTTGAAAGTGATAGTATTTCTAAACTAAATTAGTTGCAAACTTAAATTATCTTTTAAAATTTATGAAAAATTTGAAATAGATCTATAACTATAATTATCGATAATTAATATACAATTAATAAATGTCTTCCATTTTAATCTTTTTTTTTTTTAAGATGGAACTTCGTCTTATTGATCGAGTTCACTGCATTGATTCCAATAATAATAATACATTACCTAATCGAACACTGATCATACGTCGGCTTGAGAAACATGATGCTGTTAAGTCGAAAAGTCTATTAGAAAAAGATGAAGTGTTTTTCTTACAAATTCCTGCTTTAGCACCAACTATAGGTTTGTTTTTTTTTTTTCTTTATGAGTAATCTCTTTTTTTTTTTTTTTTTAAAGTCATTTATATTTTTAAGTAATTATATTGGAATATTTTATCTTATCATAAAAAGAATAGCAATTTAGGTGAAATCGATATTTTGAAAAATTCACATATTCACTAACAAAATATGAGTAATTTAATAGAGTTTAGTAAAAGAGAAACATGGAAATGCTTGATCAAATGGTATAAAATTTACATTAAATAACATTTATTTGGATTTGAATGATATGTTTTTTTCTTTTAAATTCAGGAGCAAAATTTTATAAATCAACTGTTACTAATAATAGTAATGCTACAATAATGGATGCTAATGCTACTGGTATTTCAATCACACGAGATCAATCAGTACCCGATTCCACTGCTCTTTTAGTCAAATTTCAAGAATCTCCAAGTAGTGCAACTTTGAGATTTCGAAAGAAGCCCTTTTTACGGGTTGAATATGCCATACAAGTATATTTATACATTCCTTTATATTATCCAAAATTATTTTATCGATGATTGAGAATTTCAAAGATTTATAATAAATTGATTTGAACCCAATAATTGTGACAAATTATTGGAATTTTTTTCAAAATACTTTTTCTTCTTTTCTTAAATGAACTTCCTTATTTTATCGTCATGTTTAATAGTTATAATATAAATTGTTGGATTTATTAGTCTTACAAATTCATTCAGCATAAATTTCAATTCTTAAAAATTTATTTAAATTTGCAATAAGTTGCAGTTATCACTTGGTGATTATTTATTGCTGGAATTACCAATAACAATCTTACCATTACCATGTCGTGGTAGCAATATCATTTATCAACCGTTTGTGGGTGGTGCACAACCAATACCAGAAAGTGATGAATCAGGAAAATTCATTTATGGTGATGGCTTCATGTTTACACCTCAATATAGTGTCCTAGTTTCATCTATCAACAATTATTCATCCAAAGATGGTGTTATTACAAATTCGGGTACAACAACAACAGTAGCAACAACAACAACAACAGCAACAACAATAACAGATGTTACACAAACAAACGGTAACACCGAAAATGGTATCAAGAGATAATGGTACATAAAAGGTACCCCTAATATATAAGGATGATAATATCAAAATATTGTTAGCAATGATCTATGAATAGATACTTTTAAATTCTATATGCTGAATGATAAAAACGGTGCCATTCACTAATTCGCAATTAATTAACGTATATATAATAATAATAATTAATTTGATCATTCTCACATTCATAATTTATTTTTTGATTTATCGTTAACGGTTTCGATAACTGGAATTGTTGCATAAAGCTGAGACCTTTTTTCAGAATCAATGTTTAAATTTAAAATTTAAAAGTTCCAATTATTCACTTCATGCTAGTTTTACACTCTTTCTTTTCAATTTCTTTCCTTTCGCTTTTTTTTTTTACTATATTACTTAACTATATTGTTTTAATATTGATTTTGTCACAACCAAAAAAAAATCCCATAAATTGATATGTTGTGAATCACATTATCTTCTTTTTAGTTATTAAAGAATGCATAAAATTTTACACGTTACTATGTATTTAAGAGCTAATTCGTTTATTTTGCATAAATGTTTACAGTATTTCTGGTAGCATTCAACATAGATATACCGAAAGAGATTTATGTCATCAATTGCAAAATTATATCACTAAAATAACCTTTTTATAGTTTTTTAAACAATCGATAGTTTATGTATCCAAATTCATCAGTTGGAGACCAATCATAAACATCAACAAATAAAGTTAGGGAGGATATAATTTAATAACAAATTTCCAGCGAATTACATATATTTTTAATATGAAATGTACTTGAATAACAATATTAAATTGCCTCATTCATTTTAATTGATATATTCATTGATGAATTAATTAGATAATAAATGCTGAAAACTACATATGAACATGTATATGTAAGACATGTAAGACCTTGATTTGATGTTACAGAAAATTCTGGTCAATGGCCTCCCGAAAATATCGACAAATATCAGAAATTGCCAGCAAAATAAAATCGGATTATGTTATGCTTGTGATAAAAAAAGAAAAAAAAAACAAACAAACAAGCAAACATACATTTATATTTAAGCGCTTAATGCATCATAAAACAAACGGCACGTTAATCAACTTGCAATATACTTTCAAAAAAAAAAAATCGTTCAAACAAATTTATATCATAAAATCGATTTAGTAAAAGTGACTTCATAATTCATTCTGATACGGAACTTTCAAGAATTTAATTTTCACATAGCAACCCGTCATTATGCAAAAACTTTCCGGAAAATATGTGCAGTTCCAAAACCACACAACTATTACCAACAATAATATGAATTCACTATAGCTATAAGAGTTATTTAAAACACCCTACTGACATGTACATAAGTGCAACCGGAATGATAAATACCACTTCCCTTTATTTAGATACGTTTTGCCATGCAAATTTCGTTGAATTTCATTAACTATAAGACAAAAAAAGATTCCAATTCAATATAACATTGCCTAAGAAATATCACAGCAGATGTCTATCAATAAACATCTGATGCTGAAAAGAAAGCAAAATTCAGATCATCTATGCTATCTATGAATAAGCTTTCATCATTTCACTGCACCTGATGATACCTTTAATAAGTTCACAAACATCAAAAAAGTATTATAAATCAAAACCTATAAACAAATATTAGTGAAAGCAGCGCACTTTTCAAAAAAAAAAAATTCCAAAAATTATAAAGAATTTAAAATAGTAGAATTTGATGTTGACGATGATGAAATGAGATGCAGAATGCCACCAATTCTTCGCATTAATTCGTCAAGATCGATGAAATGTGTTAAAATCATTAGCGCTAGCCAGAAAAAAATCACAAATCCAGCCCGGGTCCTGCAAACCACAAAACTGATATAACAGTAGCGAAAAGGAATTTAATAAATTGAAATCCACGAAAGAAATCCTTACTAAATAATTACCAGAAGTGAAAAGGTTCATTATAAGAATAGTAACAAACCTGGTGCCTGTGAAAGGTTTAACAAAATCAAGAGCAAAAGACACAATAAGCAATACAAGCTTGATAAATTCCACCAGAATATTTGTTCCAGAAAGCATTACTGAATTGAATGTTGTTTGTGGTCGAGATTCTGTCCATTCTTTCACATTTACTTCCATTCGTATCATCTAGAAAAGGAAGTTTTGAATTATCAAGACTATGTTACTGTAATTTATAACCTCATGGATCTATTAAATATTAGAATAGTTTAAAATAAATAGTGACAAAACAACCATGCTTCTTTTGAATATTTGTTCAGGGACCAATTTTAAAGCAGAATTTGAATTCCGCAATAATACCAACAATACATTATATAAAAAAAAATCCGAATAAAACCTAAACTATTATCGGTTGATGAAAGAACAATTTCACCTTATTTTGAGTACTTTCAATGTTTTCTTCAATGGAGCGAAAACGATCGCTATACTGATAATCCATACGTGTAGCAATTGTGTTGAGATCAGATTTAAGTGCAATCATTTCAGCTTGATGCAATTCAATTGTTTCATTCAACATTTCTTCAAGCCTCTAAAAACGTCCAAATTATGAGTTAGTTTATCTAATAAAAGAATAGGAAAAAAAAAACGTAATCCTTTTCGGACATATCAAATCTCTCTCTCGCGCTGAAAAATTATTCATAGTATACCAATCATGAATGTCATAAATAAAATCTAATAACACTAAAACACTTAAAAATAATTCAAACTTTTCATTTCAACAAACCTGTGTTTTGATCCTTTCTTCATGAAGCGCGCTATTGAAATAATTGAATTCAGATTTATTTTGAGTCTAAATTTTTTAATGAAGGAAGATAATAAAAGATATCAAATATTTTACAGCAGTAATAATACACTGTTATAATCATTATGACTAAAAATAAGGAAATAATATGCTCGAAAGCTATTTAAATTTGTCACAGGAAGTACATAACTACAGCCCAGGATAATAAGACTAACCCACGAATGATGATGACTCGTTTATATAACGAATATGATCAGAAATAAGTTACATAAAAAGCTTATAGTACTTAATCAGCTATTAAGTGCTAGTACCAAATTACTTATTGCTATAAATTTATCCGTTTGACACTGTTATAAAACAGTGCTATACGTTCTCAAAATAATCTGTCAAGCCGTCAACTTTGCACTTTCTGAGAGCATTCATTAAGAGAGGGCAAAAAGAAAAACAACAACTCAATTTACCTGCAACTTATTTAGCTGCTCAAAAAGCGCCTGATTTTGTGCTTTCAGTTCCTGTATGTCATTGTGCAATTCGATCACAGTATTTGCAGCAGTAAATTTGACTTCTGGTTCATCATGAGGGAGCATTTCTGGTAGAGACGAGATTACCAAATTATCGAGATCAAATGCCATAGAAGGCAATGTTTCATTACGTTTATGTCCACGCTTAGCTGGTGATGGCGCCACATCACGATTTTCGAAATCCAACTTATGTATCCTGAAAAGAAATAACTCTGATTCTTATATGAGCATTAAAATAAAGTAAGAATAAACAGATAAGAAAACAGTACACAAACGAAAAACGCAAATTACAGGAAATTTACAAAAGAAAAAAAAAAAAACAATCAAACAAACAAACAAACAAACCTATCATTAGTTTGTGTATCAGAGTAAAAAGTGGAATGGCCCACATTGGATGCGCCACTAGCAATACTGTCCGGTATATTATCCGCTGATCCAAAAGTACTTTTGATTATATGTGCTATACCACGTGGTGCAGCTATCACTTCTCGAAGTAGTGGACCCGTTTTCCTAAAATTATAATACCAAACTTTCCAGATAATAAATTATGGAAACTATGCAAACTGCAAATTCAGATCGAAATATGACTTGGAAAAATGTTTGAAATAGCAAACCCCATATCATATTTAAATGGAGGTATCGGTGTTTTTTATAACTTTCGCATATAAAATGACAAGTAAGGAATCCATGAGAAGACCTATTGATAAAAAGAATTCGTATAAGTCATCCGCAGATCCCACTAGAAGACTTAGATGAAATAGAAAATATTGAATACAACTTGATTTCAGACTAGAAGATCCAGATGGTCAGCAATTTAACCACTATAAATAATGTGACTACTTTTTCCCAAGTAGGAAAAATTTTTTTAACTAAATCACAAACCTAATATTATTAAGTACAGAACTTTTAGGTGAAACTTCGCTGACAATTCCCATATTCAAATCCACTAATTTTGATTGCAGTTGTTCAAGCTTTTTCTAAAGCAGTATCATATAGTTTCATTTGCAGTCTTTTTAAAATACTAATGTTCGCTTACTAAAAAATACTAAAATTCAGTTTCAGATCTTTTTTATTTCTGATACACGCCATTAGTTTAAATAACTAATCTAACACATCGATTTGCTTATTGAGTTTCACTCATCTCGTACAGTAAACTTTACCTATCGTTGTATGCAGAAAAAAAAAAAAAAAATGGCAGTGGTGTGGAATGCATATAACATAACATTTACTACGGTATACTGAAATACGGCTAAGCACTTAAGCATGTTATTCTTCATTAGTGAATAGTTCAGCTTTGGAGCAATACCTTTAAATGTTCAATTTCTTGCGAACTTTTCTTATTTTTCTTCTCGAAATGTTGTCGAACCCGTGCTAGTTGTGGATTTTCCCTTCCACCTTCCATACTACTAGTCATAGACAAGAAGTCATCAACATCCGCTGCAATAAGACTGAAAATGAATTGTCAAATTTGAATGAACAAAGACAAAGGTAAAAAGATTATAGAATTAAAATCACTCCACGATAAATTCTGACAAAAAAATGAATAACAAATGATAGACACCCTCTCTGGCAAGAGAAATACGAGATAATCTTTCTTTGATTTGCTCTATTTTGCGCTCAATGCGTGTTCGGTCATCCAAGCCAATATCATCTACACCTCCAGCGTAGGATGTTCCTCCATCCGATGAACGCAAACTACCGCCCAACCATGAACCATCTGACTGAAATTATTTCAACTGCTTGGAAGACAAGTCAGTCAAAAAGTATTATTTTTATTTAACGAAATTATTCATCTGACGCAATGTTTAATAATAAAATGACTTTTCCACAGTTACGATGAACCAGCTAATGAGGACATATAACATTAAAAACGACTAGTAAAGGTTACAAAATTTGAAGCATCAAGCTTCAAATTATTAACATGCTAAGATTAGCGATGACACTCATCTACATTATCATCAAACTTGTACTTGATGAAATGTTATACAAATAATTTTTATCACGATGGCAACAAGTAACATATGCTATTATTTTCGACATATGACAAAAGATATTAATTACTTCTTCTCTGAAAAAAATGACAGAAAGAAAACCTCAGGATGTGAGTCGTGCTTTATGACTGGCGCTAACATTTAAAAATTCAGTTAAATAATAACACCGGAAATTGTTGGTATCCGGTTCCTCAAATAATCCCTCAGGCAAATTATGATAAATTGTTGTCTACATTCCAACTTCTCCTGCAAAGAAAGAATATTAAAAACAGTCAACAAATCTAAATCTAAAATATATTTCATGATATTTGAGATACATATTTCTGTCACACGGTTATGTTATCTAATCTACATACTGTTAACTAATTTAATACAATACTATCCATTTAAATCAATGAATTTCTTTTATCATCATTAATGAACTAGATAACGATACACTAACACTTATTTCTGCGTGTTTGGATATGAAATGATATACGTATGTAACATACACATAGCACAATTAGTGAAAAAGAGTAAACTACATAGAACATAGAATGTAAGATAAAAAATTATAGAAGAAAATAGTAAAGACAACAAGAAAAGTAGCAAAAACTATAATGTTATTAGCAGACAGATAGTATAACATTGACTGATAATTGCACTATAATTTACTGGAAGAAAGTTGCTTTTTAATTAAATGACCTACCCTATCTTTAAACCTGAGCTAACTTACCTCTACAATAACTTCCTTCCGTTTTTACATGAACTGGGATTATGGTTTCATGATGATCTGTTAGAGGTTCGTTATAAATTGTGATTGTTAAAAGTGGTAGCAACGTTTGGTAAAGGCAAGTTGTATGTGAGGGCACTGGTGCGGGCTCGTTTTCATTTTTTTTTCTCTCATTAGTTTATAGTTATTTTGGAGATAATTGCAATAAAATATTAATGACAGATTAGTGGCGATGAGTTTAACACGAGGAATTATTCAGGAATTATTTAAAATCTTACAAAAAAGTAATCTCTCGATCAAATGATGCTAACGTAACTTAGAGTTAAAACTTAATCTATTCCATGAGATAATCTCTTTCCTTTTTGTCGATTAAAATCTGTATTTATCTCATATTTTCTTTCAGTCGAAGTCTAGATTTACCTCTCATCCATAATAACTATAAATTGGGTATGAATAAAAAATAAGGAATAAGAAAGCTATAAATAAGAACATAGAGCTATCTGTTTGATTAACATTGGTTATGATAAAGGCGGATTATGTATGAAACGTTTATGTATGACAAATGATTGTCATTATGAGAAAAGAATGAATAGTTAAAACGATAGAATAGTATGAGTGATAAAGATATGATATCAAATTAAGAATAATAACTGAGTCATTGAAATAGTGATCAAAAATATAATGGGGCATGGTGATGAGCGGAAAGAAAAAAAAAATGTTTTTAACATAGCAAAGAAAGGATGATAATCGATGATTCATTTTTCACCACCCATTTCATCAGTGGACAAAAATATGTAACGCTGTTTCTTTACTTTATCGCTAAATTAGTTTTGTTGTCATTTTTTTAAAATTCATTTTGTTTTCAACATTATTTGTTATCGAATGTCTCTAAGCACATGATATTCTCTAATAATTAGGTTAGATCATTATATTGATATATGTGTTTATTCTGTAACAATCACTGATTCTAAATTTTCAGTAATAACTAAAATTGATGCTACTATAGTTATATGAAAATTTCACATGTATATTCGTACCCCATTTCAGATTAATTGGCATATTTCCTAGATGCACATGTGTAAACGTGTAATATGAAGTTTATATAAATACATGACGTGTATATGAAAATATACTCACAATATAAACTATAATAGTGGTATACTTTATAATAAGTATTTTTGTGTTGAAAGGATGAACTAGACTTAGAATTAGTTTTGCAACTGTCATCCTAGTCTTTTTTTTTTTTTTTTTTGTAAATAATGGATGCATGCCATGTTCAGTGCCATATTGCTGCATTGCCAAGATCAATTTTTGGAAGGTTAAAAAAAAATTAAAAACTACTATTAATATTTCATTCAATATCCACACGATACTTTGCACAAATTGATAGCATTGAAATTAGTATTGATTCAGGTCACAGACATTATAGTTTCTTTTTCGTATCATTGCACAAGTTTTTCCAAAAAAAGAAGGGAAAGAAAAGAAAGCTAATAATCAGTAAACAAGTAAGAATTTTGTGACATGTTATAAGAGGGACATTTAAAATGTCAACAAATTAGTTTATTAATTTTTGAAATCCAATATTGTTATTTCAGAAGTCATTTCTTCTCTCTGATTTGAGTACATGGAAGAATATCGTGTTTAAAAATCTTTTCATGAAATTTCGACTGAAAAAAAGAAATAGTTTCCAATTTTTTTTTTCAAATGTTTAATCGAGATCTGATGTGAGAGAATAGAAATAGCAGTGAATGTTTGTTATAATTTTAACATTCTCGAGAATTTTAATGCTAACTTTCTTTTTTAGAACTTTCAACATAACACTTCAAAACAAAACAACATTTCCCCATCAAATATCAACTTCAGTTGATAATTATCAAAGATTAGTTTCAGTAAACATTTTAGAAATTAAAATATGGTCCTATATCTATTTGTATTTGAAAATAGTGCATTTTGCATATGCCGTTAATGAATGAATGATTTCGATGAATGATAAGATATGAGACTTGATGACATTACTCAGTGTGGGCCAACGCCATTTTTGTTCTTTAGTAATATCTTCCTTCCAAGTTCACTGCTGTTAATGAACTTTTTTGTGATTTAAAATATATTTCTTTTATTGAAAAATAACATGTTTTTTTCTTAATAAAATTTTATCTTAATGGAAAAACTTCAATGACAATCTTTCGCTGCAAAAACTGATAAACTATGATTCTGAATTTCCGTTTTGGAGAAGAACGAATGAAGCTAGTTTCTTCAATGTAACGATCACTGTAGTTGACTTTTTTTTTTTCTTTTCAGTTTTATTTAATTTCAAATCCTGTAAAAAAATTGGCAAATTCTTTTTTATTTTAAAAGATTTAATTCGAAATTGATTGTAGCAAATAAAAGATTGAGTAATATAGGTGCCTTAGGATAGATTTGTTTCTAATATCATTTCAAATTCTGTAAGGCTTTAAAAAAATGACTATTCATAATATGAACTGAAGAGAATTTCGTAACACCGAATGTTTGATCATTTCATTTAAAACTTTTAATTTTTGCATTTGAGAATCTGATTTTTTTAGAAGTGTACAAAAATATGCACAAATTATACATCATTCGACAAAATAATACGATCATAAATAATGAAGTATTTTTATTGCTAGTGATGTATCATAAATTATACATTTATCAAATACGAGTTGGCATCATAACAAAATCCCCACATGATTAAAATATATTTTTTCTTTTCTGTTTAATAATATTTTTTTATGGAAAATTTTCTTTCCCTTTTTTTTTCCTTTTTTGATTTTAGTTTTGATCATTTTTTACAAGAAAGTAAAAATTGTTGACTTTGCACGATAAAACAAGAAATCGTTGATTTTTATATGATAGAACGAATCAAAAATTTTAAATATAGGAAGTAAAATAACGATTGTTATGCGAATGAAATCAATGTAGTGGTGAAGAAAGAATTAAAAAAGGAGTGAATTAAACTGGAACAGAACAATAATACGAAGACGAAAAAAAAAATATATATATATATTTAAATGAAAGAATGGTGGAGGAAATTTTTTGCTGTTACCGAAATGGTAACAAATGTATTATCTGATGCAGCGCATTTTTCAATAGCATTTATTGCTTATTGGTTTAGCAGAATGTATTCCACTGAAAAAACTTCTAATCTAGCTAAATTAGATTCAATTAGTCAGTTGTCAACAAATGTTTATCGTATTTTGGGACAAAATCCGGGACCATTTACACTTCAAGGAACTAATACATATTTGATTGGAACCACCAAAGAGTAAGTGTTTTTTTATAAAATCATTAAAATGGTATTTCAGCTTAATCAAATGATTTTAAATGATTTAAAAATTCATTCCAGCTCATTTATGAAATTATTCACTGAACAATTAAATAAAGATGAAGTTAATTGTTAGTCTAAGCTAATCAATCAATTGAAATAATTAGATGTGTGAATTGATGTGATGCTTAAATATTTGTAGAAATTCTTCCCACCTCTTCGTTGCTCATCGTCCTCCCATTCTTCCTTGTCTTAAAGCAATTGGTAGATCTAAATGTCGTATTTATCAGATCTAAAAATCTGAAATAAGTGAGGATTAGTTTGTGATATGACTATAACAACCAATTTAGACATATTTTGAATCAATATATGTTTTAACGATGAAAAAAATGATTGCTGTTTATGTTACTAAGATTGATAGATTTGATATGGTGGGAAATATACAGTGAAATTTTATTTGTTTGTCGGATGATTATTACATTAAGAAGTACAAATTATTGAATGAATGCTTTATCGTATATAAAGCATTCATTCGGAATTTCAATATTATATGAATAATATTATTGTTATCTTTGAAATGTTCAGCAAAGAGATATATTATCGAAATCTAAGCATTTCTTCTTTTATGGAATTTTCATGATATTTGATAAATAAAGGAATGAAAATTTTTGATTTGATTCGATTTCAACAGAATTTTTTTGCTTACATCAAAGGCAAATTTTGTGATCTGTTTGTTGTCTTTTTGGTTTAAAATAGTTGAAGATCAAAAACTTGTTTTCTATTATATCATGATTGTTGATATCTTATTTAAATGATATAATTTAAATGCGAGCAAGTGTGAATAGAGTAAAATTCTGATTTTCCACTCGTAAATTTTTGTATTCTATCAGCTGATAACATATATTAGTTTTGCTTCGAAATCGAAATATAATTTTTCTTTCGTTTCAGAAGAATTTTAATCGACTGTGGTGACACTGGAGTGGAACAATACATTGATTGTTTGAAGAAAGCACTAGGTAATAACACAATAAAGTTAATTATTTGCACACACTGGCATGGTGATCATGTTGGCGGTATAACAGATATCTTCAAACATGCAAGTTACTTTTATTACTTTTAAAGTATCTTCAACAGTTTTCTAATTTCAACATCCTGGCAGTTTCCCTTTTAAAATGATATTCTCTGACAAATGTTCAATTGATAAACCTTTTGGTATTGATATATTTTGCAGCTGAAATTTTTTTTGGATTTTCATTATTATTATTATTGTATTTTGCAAAAGTCCTAAGTCTTAACCGTTCAGCCGAACTGTAATCGCATTAATGAAGTAAATAAGGTACGTTCTAGAGAAAATTTAATGCTATTATTAAAGGTGACGAATGGGCCAATACCAGTTCATAAACTTAGAAGAATGGATTCGCCAGAGGTGGATAATATAAAATTTGATTACATATTACCAGGAAGTATCATTACGGCTCCTGGAGTTACCCTTAAGTAATTTTTCAAACTTTCTTAATAAATAACTTAACTTCTTATTTAGTCTTGATCGGTGGTAGCAGCGGATATTGTAGGCATGCCACAGGAGTAAAAATTCGTGTTATAAAACACTGGAAATTAAATTTGATTTCCTGTGAGCTATTTTGGTATACTGGAACATAGATTTATTCGAATTTGTTTTCCCTAAAAAATTTGGTTTAAAAACATCCAAGAAATATATACTTTTGTTTGTAAATTCCGTGGTTTTATTCATCTGCTGTTACTAAGTAAAATAGAGGCCTGAAGTAATTACTTTTTTGTTAAATTTTACAAACAGTCAAAAACTGCATATGAATTTATTTATGTATGATTAGTCATAGTCAATAAAAACAAAAAAAAAAACGAAAGAGAAAGATTCAACTTTAGATAAATTGCAGATGTATTGCAACACCTGGACATACATCCGATCATCTTTCACTTTATTTTGAAGAAGAAGGTAGTCTCTTCAGTGGTGATTGCATACTTGGTGAAGGTAGCTCTGTATTCGAAGATCTGTATGATTATATGCATTCATTGGAAACATTATCAAAACTTAATATTACTAGGTATGTGCATTAATTTATTATTATTATTGTACAAGCTTTAGATAATATTTTTTATTGTATAAAACATAATTACTGAAGATTTTATCGATGGTAAAAGATATTTCTAGGATATATCCAGGACATGGGTCAGTTGTCGAAAAAGGTTTGGAAAAAATTTATGAATATATAGCACATCGAAAGAAGCGAGAAAATGATATATTGAAAATATTGGAAAATGAGGCAGTAATATCTAGCATGCAAATTACTAATTTAATTTATAAAATAAGTTTTTTTTAAAGTAATTATCATCTTATCAAAGTTTTAATACAAATACTATTTTCTGTCACCCATTCTCTAACAAGAAAGTAAAACCACATAGTTAGCACAGTGAAGGATTACATTTCAAAAATGGTTATTCTGCAAAATCTTTTTGATAGATTCTATGCAGTCCGCTAATTAAATAAGTTAACTATTTCATTGCATTCATATTTATCAAAATCTGTTTTTCAGGATATATCTTGGTCAGTAAAACTGGGAGCCATAAATAATGTGAATAAACATTTGGTGAAGCTTGTGAAAGAAAATAAGGTTGAACAAGTTGGTTTTGATAGTTATCGTTTAAATAATGCTCAAAATATTGACATAGGACAAACAACTACTGATGCTAATAACTGACATGATTTCGATTGTTACTTATGTGGCGCAAACAACTCATTTATTAAACAAACAAGTATATCAACAAATAAATACTTTAAAAGATTCTTAAATTTGTTCTCCAGATATATACTAAAGCAATATCACAACAATAGTTTTTAGAAGGTACGAGCACAAAAAGAAAATAAAATTTGTTAAACGAAAACATTAATCATCTTTATAACTTGGAAAAATGCCATGCGGCATTCATCTGTTACAAATATCAAGAACAAATAAAATTATTCAATTAACAAGAAAAAGACGGAATATTTTATTGGCATTTGAAAATAATTGGAACTGATAACCGATAGTCAAACGCACAAGTCTTAAATAATGATGAAGACCAGAGAATGATGAAAACACAATGAATTAAAAACGTAGTTTATATGTTTTTATATGTTTACTATAAATTTAAAAAAAAAAAAAAAAAAAAAAAACATTTAAAAAATTTTGCCACGATAAAGATATGGCAAACAAAGATTCAAACTGATATAAATTAAACTGTCTAAATCATTCCAATATTTCAATGTTGTAAAATAGTTTTCAAATATTTCAATTCATCATATGTTATCTGTTTAGTTTGCACTGCTGCAGTTTTTTTTTTTGTTACAAAATGTTACAATTTTCACTCATTTTGTGTCATATTCTTTAAATCCAATAGTAGTACAAGCGTCAAAATAAAATTATTTTATTATAGAGATGAAAAAAAAAATTTGCTTTATTACAAAAAAAAGCTTCGGTAGCTTAATTAATTTTACCATTAATTGATTTGACTTAATAAACATTTAAGCTAGTTAGGCTACCAGCAAAATAAAAAAAAGCACGCATGAATGCACAACAAATTTTTCTTTTCCTCAACAATATTATTACAAATTTTTTAAAAAAATTACAGAGGTAAAAGATAAGAAAAAAGTATGTGCTTATATACCGTATTTTTATCTACATCTATTTACTTTCTAATTAGTATTGAAAAAAATGTGTTTCTATTCAAAGAAAATTCGCTCAGAAAAAAAAGCACAATTGAGATAAAGTAAGTTATTCTCAATTCTCTCCAATCAAATATTTTTTTTCCAAAATTTTTAGCTTCTAACTTTTGCAACTTCAATGAGTTACTTAGATAAATAACTTTCAAGTTAATTATAACTTTTATAAACTATATGATCACCATATTATCCAAGTAATAAAACTCACCGAATGTGAATTAACTACCATGCGAATAAATTTTATCAGATAAAGACAATATCAATAATATAATAAGAAATATTATATACTCAATTTATTACTAATGGCCGAGAATTAGTTATGCGAATGTACCATTATAAATAATTATTTGAAAATGATATTTATTTCCAATTTCTTTTTTGTTTGTTGATTAAAAAGTATGATTAATGACTAAATGGGTAAGAATGTGACAACAAGTATAAGAGAGAACAAATAGCAATTTCTTCTAACTTTCACGACTCTTTCGCCCATGTCTACATTATACCTAACCGGAAAAGATGAAAAGAAATGGAAGACGATATGCGCAATTTGTGATTTATCAGATGAGAAATGGTTCTCTCACCATTTTCCATACTTCATCATGCTGACAGTAAGGCAAAATACTTTTTGATAATAATTCATCTCATTTTAGAGAGAGATCAGGGCGACATTGTTAGCAACCACTATGTCCATTCGATCATTTCTATTCTATCGATCTGTTCTCTTCTGCACAGCAAATTATACTGTCATTTATTGTCACTGCTGTTCCTATTCAAACAAATAATCATCACAACAAATAGCATATTAGCATATTGCATATCCGCTGAGTACTACTGCTATTATTGCTGTTGTTTTTGTCGCTGATTTATTGCTATTGTTATTATTATTAATTATTATTGTTATCACTATTATTACAGTTATTGTAACAATTCGAGCTACAATCCTTATCAAGAAAATGTACCATTTGTTGAATGATAGGAAAAAAAATGAAATCCTTTGTTGATCGATTATTATCTAATTCTAATTATTCATATTATCATATCAGCAAATAATTTTCAGCACTTCCAATCATCGTTATGATTGAAAAAATTTTCCGAAAACATTTTATATCATTTGCCACAATCTTTTTTGTTGTTTGTGTTATCAGAAATGGAATTGTTATTGCAACAGTAGCAAGGAAAATATGGACCGAAGAAGATGAAACTCGAAGAATTCAACAGGTTCTACACGTACTTCATTTCACATTTTAAATTAAATTTTTTGACGTGAAATGCGTTCCAAAATGTTTGATTTTTTGCTATAAAAAACACAAAATTTTAATTCAAAGTTTTTTTTTTTTTTTAAATTTTCTTATGAAAGTTTTAGAATTAATAAGAAAATCTTTTGTAAATATTACCTTCTTTTCTGTTAGTAGAACTCTTTTTTAAAAACATCTTTTATTATCTTTCCTCTTTTTTACACTATTTAACGTAAAATCTTTCTTCGTTTTTTCACTCACATATAAATATACGCATTCGTCCTTCATTCATTTTGCTCCAAACATTGATGTCACACCTTTATTATCGCAATTCATTTGTTGCAATTTAATAATCTAACACGTAAAGTGATTTTAATTAAAGCAAAATTTTCAAATTAAAACGAAAAAACGTTTTCAACAAATTTACAGTTTCAATTAGAAAAATTGAAATTTATGCCATGCACTTTTTTTTTTCCTTTTTGAAATAAAATGAAGATAATGGAAGCGGAAGAAATGGAGTATGAAATGGAGCAACGCTCCCAGTCTGTTATTAGTGATAATGATGTATTACGGAAAGATTATCAGTATTATCCGATGACTAAACGTTATCAGTATACAAAAGAAACAGTGGCGCCAGTTACATTTCCTAGTGTTGTAACTACCAAATCAGGTAATTCCTGAATAAATCTATCACTAGCAGAAACAAGAATCATGATTAATTAAATAGATAAGAATGAATACTTCTTCTTTTCTATGATTATCACTTTCTTTCATTTATTTCTTACCACCTTAAATAATTTCTCTTTCGAAATTAGTTAGATTGCATTAGACATGAAGAATTCAAATCTTTCAAATGTTATAATTTCTTTGGAGATAAAGATAGAAAGATTACTTGAACAAAAACAAGAAAATAAAATAATTTTACGAAATATTTTTGTAATTCCCACTTTAAAAGTGCAATGATATTTAATAAACAGCTTACCACAAATATAAAATAAAAACTAAACTGATAAATGGTATTTAGAGAGAAATTATTTGATGATAAATAGATATTTAGTACTTTAAATATAATGAAGATATCTAAAATATTGGTTAAATAAAAATTTTCAATGTGATTTTTAAATGAAATCCAACATATTTGTTTTTAAAGTACACATCTTTTTAAATCTATATATTTTTGCATTGCAAATAGCATAATTAATTTACTAATTGACTTCCTAATGAATCTTACTTTTATTTATTTGTGTAATTCCTATCAGTTCTATAACATAATGATTACTGAAGGACTAAACTTTTAAACTATCCAATAATTCCGTTGTTCATTGCTATCAAACAGCTTAGAATTTGAGGAATTAGTTTAAGTGTATAATTTAAATTTATAGAATTTAGAAGTTAAATTTGATTTTTGTTTTCTCTCATTTAAAATTTCATAAAAGAAAATTTTTTTATTAATATGATTCATAGATGACAGTTATTGGTGCTATCATTGTACAAGTCCACTAAACATAATGGGTGGAAATATGCAACATGCAATTGAAAAATTTTTACGTATTCGTCGAACAGTTTATCCAATTCACGTAAAAAGTTCACGATGTTCGGAACCACGTAATCTGACGGAATTAGCTGTAGAATATTGTCGACATCCATACTGTCAAACGTTAATTTTAACAGATCATGATACGGGTTGGTTTCTTATCATTTCATTTATAATAGTATTCAAAATGGTTAGTAATTTCTTTTTTCTTTTTTGTTTAAATTAAACATTAAAATTTTTTTAATTTGAAGTGAAATTTAATAAAAGTGAAATCGTTCAAAATTTGTTCTATACAACAACTGGCATTATTTTATCAGTTATTATTTCAATTTACCTATTTCAGTTATCTTACAATATCAATATTTTTTTCACTTATATTTTTAAGAACTGTGTTTAAAATTGTTTTCAAAAAATTTCTAATTTGTTGATTCTGTTCAGTTCCTGTATTTAACATTTCAAAATTCCATTTATATTTTCTTCTTTTGATTTTTTTTTTTTTTTTTTTGCTTTTTTTTCTTCTCTCAAAACTTATAAACTGTGAAATTTGTCAGTTAGAAAAAATTCAGTTTAAAAATCTTAAAAATTATAAAAAAAAAAAGTTTGCTATTTGCAATCATCTTTTTAGGTTCGGCCTTTACAATGCGCGGTTGTGCGGAAACATTTGGAGCAATAAATGAGAAGTTACTTGATGCACGTGATGATAACACATGTCAAAGGTAACTGATGCATTCTGTTCAGTAAAGATTCCAATCGATTAACTGAATTACTGTTCAGTGAAGAATGAAAATGTAAAAAAGTAAAATAGCAACGGTATTGTTTGATTAATATCAGTAATAGCAATGATCTGAATCAGTAGCAATGACAAATAAATGTAAAATTAAATGCATGAAAGGAGAAAGCTGAAAAAAATCTTTTTCAGATTACATGAACAGCTTGATATACAGGAATGTATCTGTAGGCATCGACGTTATTGCTATCCAGGCGCAAAACGTCGACTTTTTGACGCATCATCATCAACAATATTAGTGGCATTAGCACCAACTAATGATGTAATATCCATATTTTATCATCTTTTATTAATTTGTTTATCAATCATATTTTATTATCACTTTTAATTGGCCTTTTAAGATATGGTTGCGTATGTTAATAAATTCGAGTTCTGCAAATTTTTTTCCTGAAATTTTATTCTCTCTTCAAATACTTTATCAATGATATTTTTTAAATCATCTAAATCTTTATTAAAACTTCATATAAAAATGATTCATCAAGAATATTAAAAATAGCTATTGATAATGTCTGATATTTCCAACTTTGTGACTTAATCTTATTAGCAATTGCTATTTCTAACGGAATTATTCATTTTCGGTTGAGTTAACTCAACTATTGAGTAAATATGTTTAAGATTAACTATTTAGTGTGCTACAGTTATGTTCACTTTGTCATTTACACTTATTTGGAAGAATCTCAAGAATCTATCCTTTCAGTTATTTGATCATAACTGATAAAAAATTATGATAAATTATGTTGTAAAAACATGAAACATATCATTATACCGTATATCAAGTCAGAAATTCATAACATTGATTAGTTTAAATTAAGTTACAAAATCTTTTTAAATTGATAAATTTAACTTTTATATAATTTTTTAAATTTATAACTTTTTATAACTTTTAAATTTTTAAATTGATGCGTTACTTTCAATGAAATATATCATAATTTCAAAAAATCACAGCAATCACAATATACAAGTATTAATCAATAGAAACAATATACTGATAATTCATTATTTTAATCCATCAAACCTTCTCATTTACATTGCCATTCATTGTTTATGCCGAAAAATTGTAGATCTTTGTTAGGAAGTCATCCCTTTTTTTTTGGTTGTGGTTTGGAGTTAGTATAGACGAATGTGTTGAAAAAGGGTTTATTGTAATAGATTTTATTCGCTAACAACCACAATACGCTGTTAATCAATAATGGTAAATATACCGATAATTTCGTAGTATCTGATAGTTTACGAATGTGAAATAAATTAATGAAAAACTTAAGTAAAAGATTTAAATGACAGAAATTAAATAAGTGCAAGAAATCAACCGAATTGTAGCTTACCGATACCAAAGAAAAAAAAAACTAATATATAAAGGTTTAAATCCTTAACAAACCTACGACAAAAGCGCATGATTACAGTGAGTAAAGAATTGTCACTGTCAGATGATCTTTGCTCTTTCAGAGATGGGTTTTAACATGATATCAATTGCTCATAAGTGTAACCGTTAGATTAGAAAACGTTTACAACATTTCAACATTGCGAACAAAAAAACAACTTTCAACATATTAAGCAGTGCACATACCCTTTGTTAACAGTCGGAAGTTTTTTGAAAATTGAAAAATAAATGAAAGTTTCTAGACAATGTAGATAAGCTCAGTTACAACTGGATGAGGTGGCTGTTGTATAAATGGATTGCTTAAATGAGATATAATTTTGAAACACAGTTTCATATTTGTCTAAGAATAATACTTAATTAAGATTAAATCCTTTGGATTTAATACAATTTTATTTTAACTTATTATAATTCAGTATTTTTTTTCTACAGTTTACGATGTTTTATTTCAGGCAGCAATAAGTTTTCGAATTTATTTGAACATTTCAAAATCTCTTTCTGTAATTTAAAATTATTAGCTGTATTGTTACTATCTCTTATCACTTAAGATCAAACTTCATGAAATGTATTATTGTTGAAATGTTGAAAATTAATTTTTAATAATTTAGATTAAAAAAAGGACGAAGAGAAAAGAATGATAAAGTTATAAAATATGAAATAATTTTCATTAAAACTAACACAAATCTTGGCATAATCAATCAAAAAGTTTTTGCGATTGTTTAGCTTTCGAAAATATGATTTAAATTTATTTTACTTTATTCCATCAATTTAATACTTAACTTTTCAATGTATTTCTTCATTTCAATTCAGCAAACTTAAATATGGAGCATTTTTAACGACGAAATTATGTCAATTATAAATTTAAAAGTTGAAAAAAAAAGTAATTCCATTGACAATGGAAGAAGTGATAATTTTTAAGACAAAAATATCACATCACATTTTAAATTGGTCAATTACAAGAGTTGAAACAAGTATGGAGACCTGGCAACTGATTTGATTTTAAATTGATAATTATCTATACAGATTAATTTGCAGGTTTTTTTTTCACAACAATAATTAAATTAATTATTTATTTACTACAACACATAAATTAAGCTAATTCCAAGCCTATGCAACGATTAATTAATTTATTTATTTCAACACATAAATTAACTAATTTCATGCCTAGCAACAAATTTTAAATCATTTTGATTTTTCATCACTTTTTGAAAGTATTCTTGCTATACCATTCTTGTTTTCAATGAATGCTCGGTAGAGCGTATAAAGCAGAAACCAATTAATTAGAATTGCAGTTGAAATTAATAATAGCAACTGAAAACGATGATAGTTTTATTAATTAGTTAATAGCAATATTGATTAATAGTGATAATGACTCTACTAATTTACTAGCACTTTGCGTCTATGGATTTTCACTTTCTTTTGACTACTGTTATCTTCTTAGTAATCTAAGTAGTAGCTATTGAATTTACAAATTGTACTGGTATATCAGTTTATCTCATTTATCGCTGACAATTCAAACTCACATCTGTTCATTTTATTTGTCACAGATGAATTTGTATTTGTTTCTCTTATGTATTTGTTTCATCTATCATTGATAAATAAAATATCTATTTCATCTATCGTTGATGAACTAGAATTTATCATTTATCACTGATTATTTTCTCCAGATTTTTTACTGGATTTTTCAGTGCAGTTTAAAATGACACTTTAACAGTGTGCGCACTTATTATAGTGATACAATAAACGAACTCGTATTTCAGCAAATGGTAATGTAGGCGCTTGTTCAAGTAAACTTTTTTCATACCATAAATTTGACCACTGATAAATAATTGATATTATAATCCAGAATAAAGAACTGAGAGCTTAAATTTTAATTAATTTTACAAACGAAACATTTAAAAATTTTCTATTAAGCAATAAACTTTGAAAAAAATTACGGAAAATTTGCTTTATAAGAGGACGATAGGTAAATAATTTAATACCGAGTAATAATACTTATTTCAGATAATTTAGTAAATAATTTCTAGAATAGTTCTTTGATTCTATTTCTTTTTTTCTTACATAATTTCTATTATGCCATATTATGAAGAGTTTTTTTTTTTTTTTTTTTTTTTTTTGGAGAAATAAGCATTTCAAGTTTCCATTACCTACTTTAATTTATTATTAGTAGTATTCAATTACCGCCAATATTCAATACTGGAAGTGCTACATTATTAGGTGTTATAGTAGTAGGTAATCTGGCATGCCATATAAGCCAAATATGCCAACTATTCGTCAATAGCGCCAGTATTCCTTTGAATAAGCCTGTGATCATCTAAAATTTAAAAAATCATTTTATGAAACATTACAATTGTTAATGACATTTTCAAAATCCAACTTTTTCAGTTAAACTTCAATTGATTAAATAATTAATAATCAGTGTAGACACAAATACTTTAATAAATATGGCTGTTTTTTTTTTTTCGTCTGGAATTTTTTCATGATACACTGCTCAAATTACTTTTCAGAGGATTATTACCTGATTTCGAAATGGAAATTTCAATGTTTTAATATTATTTATGTCCAAACTTTTGCCCAACAATGTTTCCAATCGTATTTCTATGCATGTTTCTATCATCTGATGCATTTGGTTGTTTCTAAATTTTAATTTAAAATACCATTCCAGGAAACATTATTTATTATTATTATTATTATTGTTATTAGTAGTCATTATTACAAAATGGCATACAATCGTTGACTGATTAATCCAAATTGTTGCATTATTTGATTATCAAATGCAATGTAAGTTTCATTAGCATATTGTATGATTTCATTCCAACATATCGATGTTGGATTTAACAATTCATAAAGAATCCAAGCTAAGATCAATTGATTCATTATCAGCAACAATAATGTCCCATCAATCATACAGTAATAACTTCTGTAATATATACCAAATGCTGATTTTTTATCAAATTATATATAAGTATGTCATAGTTTAATCATTTTTAATACATTTGTATTATTAATAGTATATTTATTTCATTTAAATATTACTTTCTAAATTATATTAATCAATGATAAGTTCTTCATTTAAAATATTTAAAAAGCAGATTTCTTTTCTTGTTGTTAGCAAATTGTGGAAATCAAATCTTCAAATGTTAAACCTACCACTAATCTTGATAAATGAATTTTCGATGTGTTCAATAAAAAAAATGAAACAGCTTACGTTGTCTGACCGATTGCCATTTAACAAAACATATAGTATGATGAGAAAATGAGAAAATTAAAAGTAAACTGCATAAAATGTTCAAAATTTGCATTTCTTATTTAGAAAAAAGACATTATAATACTATGGAAAAGTTAACTAGGATGTATTTCAATCAATAATTTTTGTTAACTCTTCATTGTTTGAATTTTCACTTCTAAATTTTAATTAATATCAAACTTTTAAATTAATATTAAGTTCTAGAAGAACACAGTTAAGCATAATAATTAGATATTAACAGTATATTTTTTAGTATTTCACGAACAATCTGACGAATTTGACCTTGATTAATTGATAGTCGTCCTTTAGTAAAAGTCACATAAATTTCTTTCATCTATTTGGTATTTGATTTTTGTAAAACAAACTTTTTGTCAAATTTTAATTACATAGCAAAATCAATGAATAAACTAACGACAGTTACTAGTAATTAGATCAACAGATTTGAACTATTCAAAGTAGTTCAATTAACTTATAACAGAGTAATTGTAAAGTGAATTCAAATTTGGTATTATTTCAAATTTGTAATATAATTACTTTTATCTTTTATCACTGTTCCATAAAAATACGTTAGATTAAAGATTAAAAAAAGATTTTAGATAAAACGAAAAATTAGATTAAAAAAAAAAAAGAAAAGAAGAAGACAAACAAATATACAGACATTAAGAAATACTGCTGGGAAAAACTATTATTTAATTAATTACTTATAATCACAAACTACTTGCAATCGAATATTACTGCTACAAGCAACAAATAATATTCAAAAATCATTATGTCGTATTGTTAAATTAAAACTATAGTCAAAAATCTACATTTTCATGTAACAGATTTCTTCAAAATTTAAAAAAAGGAAAAAAAAATTAAGTTATTTATTTACATTCATATGATAATCATAATATAAAATCATGGAATCATAATACATTTTTCTAGGAAACCATAATTAAATCACGTCAGCAATTTACAAATTATATCTATAATTGTGAGTTAATTTACAATTACACAAGTAATTAAATGCTTTATAAATAAAATGATAAGATGAAATTTGAAAATCTCATATTTTTGCAGAATTTTTTCATTCTTTGGTATTATAACTATTTTTTTAATACAAAAATTTGTGAAAAGAACACACAAATATGTCATCAGCATTTCTATCAGTTATTTTCATAGTGAAAATATTTCCTCTGCTTTGTGACCAACATTTAAATTCTTAATATTATTAAAATTTTTGGTCTTTTGACTAAATTTTTGACGTTTTAAATAACAACAAATAGTAAAATGACAAATTGGATTCACTAATTTAAATCTTTTTTTTTTCTTTTCGAAATAAAAAATAATAAAAGTAAAATTTTTTTTACTACTGTAATTACAATCATATTAAGAATTAATTAATTTTAATATTGGTAACATTTCTAATACGTTTTTCATAATTTGATTTTGGATAGCATTTTGTCAAACATGATAACTTAAAACAACATGTTGTTCGGAGATCCAATACGGTACAACCGTTTTTGCAACACTGATTTGCTATTCCAATAATTGCTCTTCGGTGAAAATCTGAAGAAATATTTATTATTATTACTATTTTTATTATTATTATTATTGTTAGCACGTCAAATGTGCAAATTCAATTTAAAATTTAATTAATGCATTTTGTCGGTATTTCATCATAACAATGTTTACATGTCAAGTTCATATGCCCCTTGTTCTTTAATATATAAATATGTCCTTTAATACATCAGTATTTGCTTGTATTTGTTTAATGAAAAGCGTCACATCCTGAATGTGATGCTTTTAGATTTCATTGTTCAAAAGTCATGATTATTCATTATTATCATACAAACGGATCACTATAGCAAGGGCGGTAAAAGTTTTCCTATACAAAGATGCACTAATTAAGCACTTTTCAAGTAAAGCACCATGCTGTTGAATATTAAAATGAGCACAGCAATAAACATAACATGAAATTAAATAATTTCAAAATAAAATAATTAAAGAAAAATCACTTTATTGCTTAACTTTATCCTTCAATGGAGAAATAGGTTGAAAATAAAATCAAAAAAATAAGTGAATATTCCGATTTACCTATAGTGTTACTATCTTTTTGTGTTTCAGAACTTTTTGTTCTCCATTATATTAATTCTAATATTTCGTTGAAGGAAATTAACTGATTAGAAAATGATGAATTTGCAATTAAGAATAAAGGTTTAATTCAGTGCATTGCTTTGCTCTTCACTTCTTCCCTCGTTACTCATTAAAAAAAAAATATTCAGTAGCTAAGTCTGAAATGCATTTGATATAAATCAATTCATAAATTACTAATTGTTCCAATATCATTATTTTTATAACATAAATTCGATAGAAAAAAGTATAAATATAAATTATGAAAGCAAAAAAAAAAATTATACATTAAAATAAACTTTGACTATTGTAATAAAAAGCAAATGATTTGAACATCTATAACAAAAATATTTATTAAATGATTAAATTAATAACAAATATCAAAACACGACAAGAGATCAAATGACAAAACTATCAAATGGATAACAGGTCAAATTCTAATATGATTGATCTTTTTAAGTAATAATAAAGCAAATGTATAAAATTCAAGATGTAAATATATGGTATATTTACATATATATTTGTATAGTTAGATATATCTTTGATATATTTATATATATTTGATTAAATACTTGTATATATTTAATTAAAATTCATTCTGTGTTTACAAATATTTAATCAAATTTCTTCAAATTTATAATAAACAAAATCATTATTTTCATAAATGAATTTGTCAGATTTATTAATTAATACTTAAAATTATAATTATTTTAATAAAAAAAGAAAAAAATAAAAGCTTACTATTTGTCGTACTATTAACATTTTCTATTATCAGTGGAGTGAAACGTGATTTGAAGCATGGCATTGTCTCATAGCCAAATGTACAAACTCTTATCAAATGACGATATAATGCTTCGCCGCATAATCTTTTTTTTGTCATACATTCATTAATTAATATTATTTGCATAAATATGGCTAATAATGTAATTCGTTGAAATATCTGAAATTTTTTATTTGTTAAAATTTAACATACGAAAGTTTCAATAAAAGCAAAAAAGTTCAAGTTAAGACAAAAAGAAAATTATAAGTTTAAAAAGTTTAATTAGAAAAAAAAGGAAGTAGTAAGTGTAAAATAGAATATAAGATGAATGAATGGTTAATAAGATGTTAATTTTTTGTTTGCAAAGATAGCTTTAATTGTTTTTGTTTGTTTGTTTGTATTTTTTTTTTGCTCGAATTTCTAAAATTTATAGGTAAATAATGTAATTTGTAAGTACACAAAAAATATGTCCTCTTGTAAATGATTTTAATTATTAAACTTTACAATTTTATTTTAAGTGAATCGTTAAGAGTTGTTTATGTAAACATTTAATAATTGTATTTATTATTATGCATAAGGATTTGTCTCTGATAGGCTAATATATAATAAATAAGTGAATAAATAAAGCTAGCTAATAGATCCGAGTATAATTTTTTTTTTTTTTATTATATAAAACTTATAGTGTAAAACTTTTGTAAAAAAAAAATGAGCACTTTTGAAAAAAAATGAGCACTTTTGAAAAAAAATTTAAGATTCAAATTTAAGATTCAAATGCAATAAACAATTAATTTATTTGGTTTTAATTAAAAAATACTGCCAGAATTTCTTATTTATAACAAATTTTGCTCTATTATTTGAAATATTAATTCATGATAGAATTCTAATTGCAACAAATAACCATTATCAGTTTGTTTAATTAACATTTATCATTTCATTGATACAATTTTAATAAAAAAAAATCAATGGTTGAATGATACAATTTTTTATTATATCAATTATACATGTATCAAAACTTTTTATTATACATCAAAATTTCTAATAATTTTTTTAATAATATGATAAGATTACTTATACATAGGAGCAGAATATTACGTTACTTCATTATTTTAAGTGTTGGAAAAAAATTACACGTATTGATTTGCGTATATTCACATTTGATTTTAACGATTGTTTTCTGTGAAACTAATATATTGCATATGTGTTATTGTAATAAATTATACTTGTGGAATATTTTAGTTGAAATTATTAAAAAAAAATAAAAATTTATTTAATTAAAGCAAAAAAAAAACTTTTCTACTATAATATGACAGATTTTTTTTTTGAATTAATCATTTTTTTCTTCAAACTTTAACTTATTATACTTGTCTTTGACTATAAATCGTAATCACTTAATCTCATCATTTCAGCTTCTTTAATAAAGAAAATAACTTTAAAACTATATCCAATTTAGGAATATTAATATTTGATAAAACGATATGATAAAAAAATTGAACTGTAAAATTTGATAAGATAATATGATAAATAAAATAAACTGTCTAAGATATGTTCCTGGTGTATTTCATTGAGAAATATTTGATAGCAGAAGAATAATTCTTACCATTTGCAATATGAAAATATCCAAGATAAAAAGCTTTCCAATTGTGATCACTTTAAATCTGTCGTAATAGAAGTTTAAGTTTATTTTGAATTTATAAAAATGACTTTGAACTGACACACCCATCAAATACACTTTGTCTTTTATTTTTTAGATTTATAAAAAAAAAAAAAGCATAGAAAGAAGGTGCA